CTGATGCTCAGCTTTGTCCACTGGCTTGTCAAAGCCATCACCTTTCTGATACATAGGTTGGCATGGAGCAGTTACCTTTCAGATCCCCTACAGAAACCTTACCCTTTCTCTTGGACCTGAGCAGCCACTCCTGAGCTTCAGATAGAACACTAGGCTGTAGCTGGTTTTCTGGCTGTTGCCTTTCCAGGGCTATAGGAACTGTTATTGTTAGCATGATGGGGGAGTTTGGAAAGGGTGACACCAAGATATTTTTGAGGACTATGTATGCAGTTATTTTGGTTTTGAAAACAGAAAGCATCCACACCACACATTTCATTTCACTTGGCCAGAAATGTTAAGTTCAGGTTCCTAATGCATAAAAAATGATCGTTAGTGAAACGGAGGACATGGACTCCATTGGGTTCTAGTGACCTTACCAGAAACTGTCTTCAAAATACTGCAGTTATAGCTAGGAATAACAGTTCCATTTAGGTGTCCTTCGGAGCACACAATGCAAACATTTATTGTATAAAAAGCACTCGGTTGTCTCCACAGGTTAGTGATGTCTGGAACTTGGGGGATTGTAAATCCAGTCCATTACAATAAGAGTCATACTCACAATCATGAAGATTATGCCAACTATGAGAAAAATTAGAGCCTGCAATTAGAAAATAACATTTTATTAACAAAGCAAGTGACTGAGCAGACTGTAGTTCACAGACTGTCCCACTGGAACTGCATTTTGTAACACCCAGGGCCTGAGTTTGAGTCATTCTCTGTGACTGAAGCCCAAATAGTGTCATACAAGGCTATGTGAATCAAGGTTACTCTTGTGCAAATTTCAGTTCAAGAGAGCCAGGCTTTACAAGACCAGATCTGAAAAAAACCCACTTTGTTACTATGAACAATAATACAAAATATAACACAGGAACAGGGTTCTTTTTTCTTTAAAAGCTGACCAGTTACCAATGAATGATCATTGTCTCTGCTATCAAGAAAAGCTTCAGAGTTAATCCTTTTCATCCCTATATAACAAACAGGTAAGCCTATCTCTCTTTGAAGGCATTTCTGTATATATGCAAGTGATTCAGATGTTTATAGTCACCCTTTGCTATAGCAGGGCTTTATTTCACCGTAATCTGTCCACACTCAACAATATTCTGCCTCACAACACAAAGATGAATATTTTATGTGATCTCAGCACACAGTGTGAAATTATAGATGTGTCTAGCACAGAGCAACATGAAAAATGAAGAGAGATGTGGACAGATATTCAATCTGTCTCTGATAACAGCTCCAAAAGTAATCATCAGGAATAATTTTATGATGACAACCACTTTTTTTATACTTGCAGTATGTATTGGTTGAACTTCCATGCTTTTCTAAGCATGTACATAGATGTATATACGTAAGTTTATTTACATTATGTGCCTGCATATATATTTCATCAATTTTCTGATTAAATTTTCAAAGGACATCTCTGTTTTGATATTGTTAAATGTGCAGATACCTATTGATGTTCAGGATGAAAGGTACTGTTGCGGCAGTCCAGTGTGACGTATAAACTCACACTGCGTATGAATGATAAATCTTCATGTATGTCTCCTGTAGGTATATGGATCTGTCTTAGTGGAGCACTCAGTATCACTTAATTATCTCTTCAGTAAAACTTCCTTCTTAACCTTGACCTCAAGTCTTCCTGTTAATCTACAGCTGGCCTTACAGCATGAACCAGCAGCTCCTTATACAGTGTCTTGATGTTATTTAAGCAAGGAAGGTGTTGGCTAGACCTTAGACTGGATTAAATAAATGCCTTTTACTAGCAAATTAAGGAACACTTTAACATAGATACTGTTGTGTTTCAGCAGCAGTAGGGCACCAGAGGCTTTGGCTTGTAAAGCCTGGCTCTCCAAGTCAAGGTGTATCACACTGCCTGACCTATATCTTGAGCAAGGTACTACCATTTACTAGCAACTGCGAGATATTGCACTCTGAGTATTTGTGACCTGTGGAAAGCACACACCCTCCCATCCTTCCTTTTGCAGTTGCTGCCAGCTCCCTTACCCCGATTTTCTGGGGAGACCTCAGGGGCTCTTTCTCAACCAGCCGCAAGTAGAAGGCAGCAGGGAGGATGAAAATCAGCAACGTAGCAGAAGAGGCACCTGTAAGAGAAAGCAGAGCTGAGCATTGTGTCGTCTAACACATAAGCAACATAGTACACCTGCAAAAGAGAGTGTGTGAGGAGGCAGCTGCTCTTCCAAGACCAGCTGCACACAAAGGGATTTCTCTATAGACAGCTTTCATGGAGAGCTGTAGGTCTCCATACACTTATTTGAGTGCTTGGGGCCCAAAGAGGCACTTATTACTGAGGGGATTTGTTGAAACCAGTGTGGCTGCCTGTGTTGTGGATGTGTGTGTGTGAGCTGGTTAAGTGAGGACAAACAGACAATCCAAGGGCATGATGGCTCTTCAGGTGTCAAAAAGAAGGTGGATGACCTGTGCCCTGTAAGTGGCTGCTGCTCTCCTCACAGCAGAGCCCAGCACTGTGGCCCTGGTGTAAACATCAGTGAGGAGCAAAGTGGTTGCCTGAGTGGAGTATAAAATATGCAGAAACCCCATGGAGGTGCCTTTCTCAAGCGCATCGGCATCCCCAAGTCCTCAGGCAGCTCAGAGCATGGAGACTCTTCATGGACCTCTTTGGTCAGAGGCCAAAACTGTCCAAAAAGAAGAAGTAAGGAGAAAACCGTGAATGTTAAAAGAAATGTGTTACATTTCTCCTTTTTCTAACAGCACAGTTTGGCAGTCAATGCATTTTGTCCAGGCTATAGATGCTCGAAACCCAGAGCTGATTTCCCTCTCCTCCATATGCCCCCATGGTTTTTGTTGTTAAAATGAGAACTGGGATTATTGGATTCCTTATTCCTATTGCCTTATGCAAGGTTGCAACAATATTGGGTAGTGTTTAGCTTTGTCTCAGCTATTTAGGATTTTCTGTCTTGTTTTTCCTTACTTTAATCTGTCTTTACATTATTCTACTGTAAGACCCAAACTGAGACAGTCATTCAGCCCATGAATGTAAATATGTTGTGGACAGGATTAGCAGAGTGAATAAAAAGTATTTATGAAACCTACCAATAAATCCAAAGATGTCTTTAATCGTTGGGACAAAAATTACAAGCAGGTTATTAAAAGCAAGAATTACTGCTGCAGTCAGGAAATGTCTTATCCAGCTGAATGGCCTCTTAGGAAACAGCAGTTCACTGAGAGATGAACGGATCTGTAAAGGAAAAGCAGTGGGGGAAGTTAATCAGCAATTATTTTATTACTGTTTTTCACTTGTTTAAGTGATCTATTGATAGATATTTTTTCTGTGAGAAATCCTGACTGAAGAAATGTGTTTTCAGTCTTTGATTCCCTTAATGTAACCTCACTCTGGTGTAGGTTTTTGAGAACTGGATTCACAGTTTAATGCAGAAACTCAAATATTTACAGTGTAGGAGAAAGTCAAGTAAATAGGGTGTAAAATCAGGGACATGAAATCTGTTCAACTGAAAGATGCTAATATCAGCAAAAAAAACCCCAAAGAAATCCCTTATTGTGAATACAAATCAGTAGGAAAAAAGTGCATGGGTGAAATATGAGTTGCTGTATTCTTAAACCTGATCCCTCTGAATATCCCATAGGAGTGCTGTCATTTACTTTTGTGAGGAAAGAGCAAGCTGCTGTTTTACTTTCATTAAATATATGCAAATATATCTCTTATCTCAAAATAAAAACATATTTTTCAGTGTTGCTTGGACATTGTAATCCTAAAAGCTATTGAAGAGGATCCTTTTTGCTCTGTTGACTTTCTCACACTGAATGTTTTTGTGCTTTTTCTTCAGCGAAGATGGTAAGTAGGAAAAAGGTCATAAGCAAATCCCTTTGGTGGCTGGAGATAGTGTTACTGTGGAGTACCGTGATTAACTTAAAAGATCTGAAATGTAGGAGTTGAACAAAAATGATTTTACACTGGAAAAAGCTGAAACCTCACTTCTGTTTGGTTGTTTTAAAACAACAGACAACTGTTTCTGGCTGAGTTCAGTGAGTCAGTTGCGGTTCTGTCAAATGGAGCCGTCATTTGAAAACACAACATGAATTTTGCAGTTTATATTTTTGCAGCTTGATGTGAGCCAATATTAGGAGGAGGGAGGCAGGCTGCAAAAATTTTGTCCAGCCCCTGAGTTGGTGTAAAACAGCTTTGTTCTACCAAAGAACTGCTGCTTGCATTCCTGTTCGCTTACACTCACCGTCTTGTGCGCTATTCCTGCTGTGATATAGTCCTTAAAATGAAGCTATCAGACTGAAGTTTGCTGTGACTAATGGTACATCGATCTATATTGAATCATTTTTTTAAATGATGCAATAATTTTTTTTTTTAATAATAAACTGTGACTACTTTAAGAAAATACAAGTGTGGTAGTTCATAGGGTTCATAGGTAGTAGATACAACTATACTGCACAACTATACTGCTTATTTAGAGTAACAAAGTAATTAGATCTATTAAGCTGGCTGTCCCAATAGGCCGTATAAAATTTTATGCTGGTTTACAAGTAAATGATATTTTCCTGGGGAGTTCTTTTAACAGAGTGATTAGTATTGTGTTACGAAACTGCTAAGCCTTTGCACACTTGATTGATTCAGATATAAATATGATTATGCAGAAAGCTAAAAATGCTAAATGCTACGTCTGACAGAGGCTTTTGCAATGCCCTCAGATTCTTTTCCCATGAAGAGTGATCAGTTAGTTAGGACTAAGAATCTAGGCAGTGGTTTAAACACACATTTAAAGCAGAGCACCAGAACACTCTAAACTAGATGGACTGATCACAATGGGTGTTATATACCCGAACTTCTGGCTTTTGTTTTGTAGACAACCTTGAATGGTGATCACTGCTCTTAGGTATTTGTCAGTAAGCCTGGAAACAGTACCTACACAGAGCTTGTGTTTGCATCCAGGACAACGGAGCAACAGGACCCAGGGTTATGGCTCTCATCAGATAGCAACACTACAGTGTGACGCAGATTGCTGGGAGTCCACCGGCAGCATGATGCTGGGCTTGTACGTGCCAGACAAATGGCACACCAGCCTCCAAAACTTAATAACCAGGACCAACTATTTTTTCCCTTGCTGCTTAGCGGATTAGGGAAGGCATGAGAGACAGTCCCGTACATTCAGGAGCCTGGAGGGCTGCTCTTCAGGTGGGGATTGATCCTTGAGCACTGTCAGTCCTCTGCAGAGCGCTCTGTTTAGATGTGTCTTTCCCTACTACTGTTGATATTGTGTTTTTCTCAGTGAACAGAACCTAGAAGGTCCAAACAGTGCACAGGCACTTGACTACGTGGCCAAGTCTCTACTGCCTGTGTTTCCAGTACTTAACTTTCCTCCCCTTTCCATAGACTCAGGTATGTAAGATGCTCACATGGCCTCTGCCTCTCTGCCTTGGCAGGCAGGTCTGGCAGTGCAGCATAGCACATGGCCTGAGCTGTGTGTGGCTGTCTTGAGTTTGAGTGCTATAGTAGGTGCCTATGTCTGTATTAGGAAATCTTGTAAGAATATCCCAAAGTCTTCACTACTTACCCTACTGCTTTAATAAGTATAGTACAGAGAGAGGGAGCCAGGGGAGTTGTTCCTGATTTATTGCTGATTTATTTATAAAGACTGATTTATTTCAGTCTTTCAAAGTGTGTAACCCTAACTACTGAAGGTCCTTGCCCTTGCCAAGCTACATAAGAGAAAACTCCCTTCCAAATATAAATCCAGGTATAGTTTTCTTCAATGTTAAAGTCTGACTATCCTGAATACATACAGTCAGTGTACACGGATTAGCCCTGATTTCAGCTTCAGCAGCTGTGTTACTTACAGGGAAAAGGACAAGGGGCACTGTCAGGGTTACAGCCACCAGCACTGCCAAGCGAACTGACAGCAAGAGTGCGTCAAAGGTGTACACTTTGGTGTATGTATGAAGCAGCTCATCTTCAACTTCTCCTACACAAAGGAAACAGAAAGGAGTTAAATCACTTGAGCAATATTGCACATCCAAAGGGATTTTTATACTGCAGCCAGATAAGGTTAGCTTTGGCCAAGCTGCTCTCATAAGACACATTATGGGCTAGACATGAAAGAAATTTTCCAGCAAAAGTTACAAGTCTGTCATTCAGAGACCATGAGAGTGATGCTCTGAGGTGATGCTTTGTACTCCAGTATCTCGAATGACTTTCTCAAAGTCATAAAGTGGATTTGGAACCTGAGGTAAAAATAATTGCTCTGATATGAAATAGGAAACAGCCCAGTGAACTGGGAACAGCTCTTTTCAAACTCCACTGCTGTGGCCCAGCTCTCAGACAGAGCCCTCTTGCCCCAGTGATAGAGAGCAAATTGTGCAGTGTCATTCACTTCTTTGCTGTAACAGAGGAGCTAACGAGGTAAAAAGAAGTGGCGATTGCATAAAACAGGCTAACACAGCCCACTCTGTTTACCTACTGGTTAGTCTAGCTTATCCATATTTTTTTTTACACTAGAAAGATTTGCACCTGTTTTTCAGCATAGGTGAAGCTGAATTAGTGGTGTCAAAGCCAGGGTGGGCAGCCCTCAATAGTGTTATGTAAGACTGTTGAGCAATAGAGTATTTTTAGTATGGTCACTCTTGGCCTTTACCAGAAGCCAAATTTACAGCAGCTAGTTGCCTGAGTTCACAAAACCAAGAGATATAAAACTGGTGCCCCTAGTAAGTGCCTCTGAGTTTCTCATGGATGAGGAGCTTGTGGTTTGATAGTTGGATAAGTCCCACCACTTATTCATTAGGATACACACTGTGTATTATACTTGAACAATGCTTACACCTGGATTCCAGCCCAGGTGTAATACATGAAAACTTGAGCCTCAGTGTGGCAGAACCATCTCACTTGCTTTAAAGTGAGAGTGAAAATTCTGCAGAGAAGAAGGCTTCGACCTACCGTAGAAGGTAAGGTATCCAAAGAGCGCAGCCAGAAGGTACATGATAAGCATGCCAGTGATGGAGATATTTGAGACATTCTGCATCCGTCTTCGGGAGCGACTGAAGTAGGAGAGAAAGAGAGTAACAGTGCTAGTCTTTGAAAGGCTCTATTTGTACAAAAAGTACTCAGAAGAGTCATAGCTTTACCGACATCCTTTCATTGGCTAGTAAGTTCATAGCAACTACATTGATTATACAGAGCTCTTGAAGCTTTGCAGCTCTGTGCAGAACTGCAGACTTATGAAAGTGTGTTGAAACTCCATTTCTACTACTTACTTAGTGACAACATATAAATATGCCAAGTTATTTTGTATATTGTTATCTATATACGATCAATCTCAAACGATGTATTTGAAATAAAAACCAAGGTGGCTAAAATTACAGGGCTGGGAATAACAGTAGACAAGAGTTTTCAGTCAGCTCTATATGAGCATACCCTTATATCTACATAGGGGTCTTCTGCAGGTTCAGGAAATTCTTGCAGGGCAAATCTTTTGTTTAGAAATCCTTTGGTTAAAGAATTGGTATAAGAAAATCTTCAGCTTATAGGACCTGGAAGCATGCTCCCAAGTAATCAGAGAATTTTTATTTCTTCTGAGGTTAAGCCTGCTGAAATAGGAAGTAATGGGTTTTGGCCTCCTTGAGTTTTGCAGCACAACCTCTTATAATGTAATTTTTGCTGTTGAACAAATACATTTTTTAGCCCTTCCTAGCTGTCAACTGTGTGCTGATTTAAGCGAGTGTATTTGATAAGGAAAATAGGCTGGGTGAAGAGGCTAAGATACCCAAAACTTTGGCATCCCAAGAAACCTCAAGGGTAAGCAGCAGCTGACTCAGACACAGAATTTATTAAGATATTATTAGAAACCACAATTATCAGTTTCAGTGCAACCAAGTTCCCCAGTATATTTCACATCATTTGAAGAACTGTCCACATTCCTCCTTTCCTAAGTAAATATTGATCAATGCAGCTATCTGAACAGTGATCCTTTGTCACCAATATCTATTAACTCAAAGCAAAGCCAGTATCTGCTTACTATGGAAAGCAATAAATCATTAACGGATGTGTGTCTACACACCAGCAATCAAGGCAGAACATGTAGTGATCTCTGGCTAACCAGTTAACTGGAAGTACGGGACAAAATTTAAGAACCTTACTCTTTCAGTTCACTGTATATTGGTAGCACCTCAGGGTGGCATACGAATGCAAATGCCAGGATGGGTATTGCATAGGCAGTCTGTAAAATAAAGCTTCCATTAGTAAGAATGGTCACTGCTGTACCTGACTTTTGGCTTGCAACAGTTTAGATGTGTCACGAATGGGTAGAAACAAATTCTACAGAATGTCCCTTACCCGTGAGTTGAACACAAAGTATTTTGGCTGACACATATCACTACTGTCGCTGTGCGCTTCATATTCCACACCACTTCTGGGAGAGGTATCTTTTGGCTCCTCAAGGCCTGGCAAGTGCCCAGCAGTGTTGTCCATCATGAAATTCACACCAGAACTGAAAGACTCATTTGGTAACATGATCAGGTGTGCTGGCACTGTGTAGTTGTTGGCGGTCCAGTTTCCAAGCCCATGGTCCATGATGGGAAGAGGACAAGGTATTTGGGATTTCTTGAAGATTACCTACGAAACAGTAGACAATGTCATCAGAAGAGTAGAACCGTGAGAGATTACACTTAGATCCAGGGTATGCCAAGAGAAATGTAAACAGGCACACAGAAGAGAGAGGTGAAAGGGAAGGAGCAAGAAACCAAGTGCTACTACTTCTGCTTTGCCTGCAAGTATTTGTCGTTACTCTGCCTCTGCTGTTGGCCTGCTTTATTTTTTATTTTCAAGTGTTGTTTTTTAGCCTAAACTTTTTTTATTCTGGCTTTTTTTCAGTAACAGGCTGGTTGATTTGATTCACTTGCAGGTGTTATTCTAACATTCACATTAAATTGTCATGGTAAGAAATAGAACAGCATTGCAGTTTACAGGCTCTGTATTTGCTTAGAGACAATACCCAAAGAGCTACCTACCACACTGACAAAGAAAACCATACAGGTCAGCGAAAACCCACTCGTATAACCAAGATAACCTGTGCAGCAAGAAAAACAAAAACCAGTTCAGCTGCATATAAACTCACAATTCTAACAGAAACGACAAATAAGGTTAAGTGGGGCATTAAGCTTACCTAAACTCTTTAGAAGGGAGAGAGGAAGAATAACTGCAACTGTTACTAGTATGACGAGGTAGTTCCCATTTAAATACCATTCTCTAAAGAGGAGGAATAAAAAATAGCAATCATTCCCACCGAAAGCAAGGTGAAAAAATTTCATCTGAGGATCAGGTTGGGCAAAGGTACCTACCCAGAACTCTCCTCGAGTTTCATTAATGCTCTGATCACTTCAGGAAGTTCATATTTAATAATAAAAAGGTAACTTGACATTGCTGAAAAAAAACCAAATAAACACCTTCAGAGAAAACAGTGTAGTTCCAACAAAAATAATTTGTTTCAAGAAAACATTAATACTGCATGAAAAAGATATTGTTTTGGGAAATCAGTATTTATTAAAATAGAGAAATGAGTTTTGTTCAAATAACAGTGAGATTAAATAGATGGTATGTTCCCTTGATATTGTTATCACAGAACCTTTAGGGTTGGAAGGGACCTCTGGAGTTCATCTATTCCAACCCCCCTGGGGGTTCACCTCCAGAACATTACATAGGAAAATGTCCAGGTGAGTTTTGAATGCCTCCAGAGAGGGAGACTCCATACCCTCCCTGGGCAACCTGTTCCAGTGCTCTGCCACCCACAATGTAAATAAGTTCTTCTTTATGTTGAAGTGAATCTTCTTGTGTTTCAGTTTATGGCCACTGTTCCTCATCCTGTTGCTGGGCATCACTGAAAAGAGCCTGGCACCATCCTCTCTGGCACCCCCCTTTGAGATATTGAAATGCATTAATGAGATCCCCTCTCAAGTCTTCTCTAGTCTAAATAGGCTCAGCTCCTGCAATCTGTCCTCATAAGAGAGATGCTCCAGACCCCTGATCATCCCTGTGGTCCTCTGCCGGACCCTTTCCAGTGGCTCCTTGCCTTTCTTGTACCGAGGAGCTCAGAACTAGACACTACACCAGACATGGCCTCACAGGGTTGACTAGAGGGGAAGGACCACCTACCTGGACCTGCTGGCCACATTCCTTCTAATGCACCCCAGGATGCTATTGGCCCTCTTGGCTGCAAAGGCACACTGCATAGTGAACTTGTCATCTACCAATACTCTCAGGTCCTTCTCAGCTGTACTGCTCTTTATTAGGTCAGCTTCCAACAAAGTTATGAAAATGCCCTGAATGATATCTAACATTCATTATTACAATATAATACAGTTATTACTGAATTAGCACCATGCTCAAATCACTGTTCTTATGAAATTTACACTCAACTTTTCTTTTTCCTTGTCTGTTGTAATGTTTTTCCAATGGATATTGTTCATCCACGTTCTGTAGTAACTTCAGTTGTTACTGCCTCTAAATTTCTTCATCTACCTTATTCTTTATCCCTTGTATTTTAAACTTCTCCCTTCCAATACTCTATATATTCAAAAACTCAAGTAGTTGTTGAGAATCCTGATGGAAAGGTGGACTTTTATATGACTCATTTAAATATTCTGCCAGAAGGCATGCTTTCTTCAGTTATTTTATGTTCACCACAGAGAGTTCTTTGATGAACATTCTCTCTATGAATCAGTCTAGACAAGAGAACTAGAGGAGCAGATATTCCTCTCTAACAAGAAAGCATACTTCCTTCCTGAACTGAACCACATTAGATATTAGAAAGATCATAGAACAGGATGGACAAAATTAAAAAGTCTCTTGCAATAGAGATATGTGAACCACTTCTGTCTGGGTATCAAAGTTGCTCTAAAAGAACAGGAATGTTCTGGTGATGCATATTGGAGCATAGTGCATTCCAAGAGAAAGATCACAAGAAAATCTACACACATTTAATTGACCAATGATGCATTTAATTTATATTTCAACAACTTGTCCTTAAGAAATCTAGAAAAAAATTACAAACTCCACTGAGCTTTCAGATATGTGGTCATATCTGAAAATATAATATTCATATTTCAGATATGGTGTTCCACAGTTCCTAAAAGGCTTCTTAAAGGAAAAGGAAATGTGAAAAGGAAATAGGTTTTGTTGCACAAGTGCACAGTCCTACGCCTACTGCTTACATTGGTAAGTAAACAGCCTCTGGTTCTGAGAGGGTGGAGGTTTTTTTGATAGATATTTCACAGGGAGCATCTTTTTGGATGAATACTTTCAACAATCAGTGTTAAACACTCAACATCTTAGATCACATCCCAACTATCATTTCAGAGAGATAATTTAGGCAGAAAATAAACTACTCAAGAGGCTTTCTTGTATGGAGGAGACAGAACCATGTGCTCTTTCTTTTAGATAGGTTTAATCTTTTCTAGGTTGAAGCAGATGATGGCTAGTCTGAATTGTACTCAATAAAGAGAAATGGCGAGCTCCTTGAAGACAGTCAGCCAAGCCGTTTAAGTCTTCACTGGTCATGGAGAGATTATAGGCAGCTGGCCTTCAGCAGACACTGAAGCATCAGGTAGCTGAAACAATGAAGATGAATTCCTTTTGTCCTTACTTATTACAAAATAGTGTGTACTGTACCTGACTCATCTCTGATGCCATTTAGCTAAACAGAGGAGGGAAGGACTTGTGTTAAAAGTTAGAAGACTTTTGCCCCTTACCTCCGATGTTCTGCATTGTAACTGAAATGAAAACACCACACTTCCCGGGCCAGCCAAATGCCTTTTCTCCCAGTTTTTCATATATTAATGATTCTGAAAAAAAGCCCCAAAACAAAACAAAAAAGAAACATGGACCACTGAATTGGATGCGCTTGACAAATTGCATTCCAAAGTAAAATGTATGCATGCATCAGGAACTGTTTGTCCCA